ACTCAATTTTTTTTTTGGTTCTTCACCACATGCTTTTGGTGATCTTGCATAAATTTGATTCATATTTCTTGCATGCTTTGAGTATTGATTATGACATGCATTTTTTTAAATAATTTTATATACAAAGATTTTGTCTCCCACACGATCCAACATTGTTTTTGCAATTACTAGTGCTTTAAGATTAAACTATCTACAAAGGAAAGGTTATATATTTACAAATTTTTTGTTTATAAACTAGATTATGTTTAACCGGTCATACTTCAATTAAGAGTGTATGATCGGTCATACTTAGTGTAATTTGTAAAAAAAAAATTATAAACGGATTCTTTGCCTTATTCAAAATAGATATTGAACAGTATAATATTTATGATAGAATAGTTGCTGTCTCTATTATATTTTTTTTACAGTGTTGAAGCTAAAAATCAGGAAGCTACTTTATGCATTGTTACATTTTAGGATGGAGTTGTTGCTGTCTCTATTATATTTTTTGGGAAGTATTCTGTGTAATTTTTACATTTTAATTATGTTTTGGGACATATTAGTGAATATTGTTACAGAATTTAACTGTCATATAAGTATGGGTAAAAAAGAATCCTTTTTACTAAAAGAGAGTACCGTAGTATTGAAGAAATTTCCCATATATAGACACCTTTTAAATTAATACTATGTATACGGTATTAGGGGCCTAAATGGGCCAGGTTAGGTCAGACTTTGTTTTTGATAGCCTAAGTCTATGTAAAACATTTAGAGTCTATACTGTTATGGTAGCCGAATAAAGTCTTGATTTACAAGTCTAGTATGACCTATTATAAAAAACTAAAAAGTCTACCATGGTTGTGAGGCCTACCAAGTTTTATAAGCTCAAACCAAACTGAAATATAAAATATAAAATTTCTTATTCACAAATATCACGTGAAATAGTATTTTCATTAACAACACATGAAATAATATTTTCATTAACAACACATGAAATAATGTTCATAAATATCACATGAAAATATTCATAATAATTATATGAAATAAACATAAAGATCATATGAAAATTTCATATATGTATATATACATATAATTTGCACTTTCTTTGCCAATTTAATTTTATATTATATTTTAAATTTAAATAAATATTTATTATTTGTTAAAATAACATCAATCCTATTATTTTGAAAATTAATGTTACAAATTATGATCTCTGAATATATCTTTAAGTGAATAATATATATCATAAAAATATTATATTATCAAAAAAAACTAAAAGACTAGCCTGTAGCCTTTTAGGCCAGATTTTTTAAAGTTGACATATGTCTTAATTTTTAAATGAACTTTTCTTAAAGCCTAAACATGCTCTATTTAAAGAATAGAGTAGACCAGGTCAGATTTAAAATAAATCAGATTGTAGGCCCAACATGGGCCATCTGACATATTTACATCCTTGACGGTATGTAGATTTTAAACTACTTTTACATTTTGGGATATTTTGGTGTCATCCGATTCAATTATAACTCATGTCAAAATAATAATTACTCACTTTTCTTTTAGAAAAATAAAATAAAATTAATAGTTTTAGAAAAATTAGAACAGAACAAAAAGCACCAAGCCACCAACTTATGTAAAAAGTACAATGTCTTTTTTTTGTGGTAAATAGTACAATGTCGTTTTAATTTAATATCCATTTTACAATTAAATTAATATATAATAAATAATAGCAGGTCTTATTTATATTTTTAATTTTGAGAGAAAGAGAGAGAATTATTTTTCTTTAGATTGAGGAAGTTAATTTTAGAGATAATGTTTTTAGAGAGAAGTGTTTTTCAGAATTTTTTCAGAGAAAAGGTATATCATATTAGGTACATTAATTTTTTTTTAAAGAAAGGTAAAATTGTAAATTTATATTATAATTTATCATTTTAATTTAAATAATATTTTATTTCCTTTTTAAAAAAATAAATCCTTTGTTTTCCTTCCTTTCCTCATTTTTTTTTTTTTCTTTATTTGGTCTCTTTCATTTCTTTTCTTTTGTTTTCTAACTCAGGAACACAACCTCAGAATATTAGCTACTAATACAGTTAAATAATCCTACTTCGTGATAGTAAGTCTAGCACGTACTAAAGCCCATGCTTTATTACAAGCATAAGTCAAAGTAACAATAATTACAAGCATCGACAAAAATTACAAAACAATGATAACAAGTCACGTAACAATAAATGCAGGTCCTTCCACAATTGAATGTATTAAAGCCAAGGGAGTAGTAACACTCTCATAGGATAAATGATGCTATGAATTTTTGGCCGCAATGTGTGTATCTAATTTAAAGTTTGACTGCTTTATATTTGAGACTAGATTAAAAAAGTGTCTTAAATAACCAAACAATGGATGCGTACATGTGTACATGAGTCAAACGGTTTGTGAGTGACCCATAGTCTGGCGTCAATCGTCACTTGACTTAACCTATTTTGAAAATATTATATACTTGAACTAACTAAAAAGTCAAACTAATAATTTAGCTTGTTTCAAGCTAACACGACAATTAGAATTGAAATATTTTATATGGGCCTAGTCTATTTAGACCTCTATTTTAAATCTGACATGGCCTACTCTATTCCTTAAATAGAGCATGTTCAGGCTTTAAGAAAAGTTCATTTAATAATTAAAACATAGGTCAACTTTAAAAAATCTGGCCTAAAAGGCTGCAGGCTAGTCTTTTAGTTTTTTTTTTAATAATATTTTTATGATATATATTATTCACTTAAAGATATATTATGAGATCATAACTTGTAACATTAATTTTTCAAAATATTAGGATTGATGTTATTTTAACAAATAATAAATATTTATTTAAAATTTAAAATATAATATAAAATTAAATCAGTAAAGAAAGTGCAAATTATATGTATATATACATATATGAAATTTTCATATGATCTTTATGATTATTTCATGTGATTGTTATGAATATTTTCATGTGATATTTATGAACATTATTTCATGTGTTGTTAATAAAAATATTATTTCATGTGTTGTTAATGAAAATGTTATTTCATGTGATCTTTGTGAATAAGAAATTTTATATTTTATATTTCAGTTTGGTTTGAGCTTATAAAACTTGGTAGGCCTCACGAGCCATGGTAGACTTTTTACTTTTTTATAATAGGTCATACCAGACCTGTAAATCAAGCCTTTATTAGGCTACCATAACAGTATAGACTCTAAATGCTTTACATAGACTTAGGTTATCAAAGACAAAGTCTGACCTAACCTGGCCCATTTAGGCCCTTAATACTGTATACATAGTATTAATTTAAAAGGTGTCTATATATGGGAAATTTCTTCAATACTACGGTACTCTCTTTTAGTAAAAAGGATTTTTTTTACCCATACTTATATGACAGTTAAATTCTGTAACAATATTCACTAATATGTCCCAAAACATAATTAAAATGTAAAAATTACACAGAATACTTCCCAAAAAGATATATGGACCTGAAACTTCGAGTTTTTTTTTTTTAATTGTGCTCTTGATTTTTTTTAAACGGTTTTATAAAGTAGTTTATAAGAATTGATTTTCAAAATAAAAGATGAAAAATTGGTTTTGAAAAGAGTTTTAAAATTTGAAGAAAAAAATTGTTTGGTGAATTTATTCTACAAATATTGACTCAAATAAAATTTGATTAGTATATAGAATATAAATATATAATTCTTTTTTTTTTTGGATATTAGGGAATTACAAACAAACAAAACAACCTACTTAAGGATCTTTGAAGGTATTAGCATACCCCAACACATCCTTCTCAACAAACCTATAACAACCTAAAGGAATATTAGGCAATAAAGCTAACTCCCAAGAATTATGGTCCACCTTAGAAGCCAAGAAGTTAGCAACTTCATTCCCACTCCTCCTCGTATGTGATAGCATAACCTCCCACTGCCTATCAATCAGCTCCTTGACCCTGTTTATCAGATTGCAGAACGGGTGGACATCAGGACAGATTCCTTGAATCAATTGAAGAGCCTCAGATGAATCACCCTCTAAGTGAACTTGCTTAAAACCATGCTCCCAAGCAACTTGAAGCCCTATTAACATCCCCCATAATTCAGCCTTCAAAGCATTACCTTGACCAACCTTTTTCATAAAACCAACTAGCCATTTTCCATCACTGTCGCGAATAACTCCCCCACAACCACATTTGGAACCATCTAGTGAACATGCCCCATCCGTATTGATCTTGATCCAACCTTTTAGGGGAGGCTCCCATTGCATCAGCGTGTCCTCCTTATTCCTCACTCTAATCTCTGCCACATCTAGAGCATTTTCAGCATGTACCACATTCTGAACATAGACCCTCACTTTATGACAAAAGCTTTCAGGAGAGCTAATAATCTTCCTAAAAACCAAGTTGTTCCTAGCTTGCCACAACATCCAACAAGTGATACCAAAGGTAAGTCTCCAAGCTTGGTCTTGATTATCCTTCCTCCCTCTACCCAGGTTAAATTGAATCCACTCCATAAAATTACCAGCAAAGAAGCCACCACAACTAGCTTTATCAATTAACAAGGACCAAACCTGTCTAGCCCAAAAGCAATCCCTCATCACATGACAACAATCTTCACACGGAAGCATGCATCTGGGGCATTTAGCATCATCTCCCATATGTCTACATCTCCTTTGCTCATTTGTTAACAGCTTATTACCAATTAAGAGCCATAAAAAATGTTTAATCCTCTCTGGACCCCTCCACTTCCAAGCAAGATCCCAATAGCTGTCCTGGTTCTTAATACTTGGATATTCATTTCTGATGAGATGGTAAGCAGATTTCACAGAAAAAAGGCCATTGCTAGAACAATTCCAGATAACCCTATCCTCCTCATCTCCTTCCTTTGGTGCTTCAATCCGAGCAATGGACTCACAAACCTCTTCAGGAATATACATACTGAATTTATCCCAATCCCAATCCCAATCCCCATCTTGTTTAACACAGTGGGCAACCTTCCAGCATTTATCCTCTTCAGGAACAGGGCTAGTAACTTTATCAATTAATCTGCCAATGTCAGGAATCCACCAATCCAGCCAGAAACTAGTTAGCTTGTCATTCCCCATCATAACTCTTGTACCTGCCAGGACATGGTTCCAGGAGGAACTTATACCCTTCCACATGTTGCTAGCATTAGTAGTCCTAGGCATCTTTGGCATAAGGCAATCCTCCATTTTATATTTACTTCTCAGCACTCTAGCCCATAAAGATTCCTTTTTGGTCATTAATCCAACACCAACCTTCATGATGAAAGCTTGGTTAAACGATTGTAGATCCCTCAAACCAACTCCACCACATTGCTTATTAGAGCACATACTCTCCCAATTAACCAAATGGACACCTCTTTTCTCTTTAGTTGAACCCCATATGAATCCACGGGTACACTTTTCTATTTCTCCACACACAGATTTGGGTAACCAGGCTGTTTGCATAGCATAGGTGGGCATAACAAAGAGCACTGACTTAGCCAAAGTGAGTCTCCCAGCTAGAGACAAAGTTTTAACACTCCAAGCATACAGTCTGTTTTTCACCCGATCCAACACATGGCCAAAGGACTTTTTACTCACTCTATCATGGTTTAGCAAGACCCCCAAATATTTTCCCAGGTTAGGGGTACTGCTTATACCTAAGCAACCACTAATCTCTTTAGTTCTTCCAAAGCTAACATTGTTAGAGAAGAAAACCCTGGTCTTCTCCAAATTAATTTTCTGCCCATAACTTATAGAAAAAATTCTAAGCACCTGATTTATAACTTGAGCCTGCTCCATGGAAGCTTCAGCACAAAGAATGATGTCATCAGCAAAAAGCAGGTGCGATATTGGTGGACCTCTTTTTCTAAGAATAATAGGCTTCCAGGCTTTCACATCATTAGCTACTTGGATAAGGTGGGCAAGCCTTTCAACACACAAGACAAATAAGTAAGGAGATAATGGATCTCCTTGTCTTATTCCTCGGGAGGGCCTGAAGTACTTGGTGGGCTTCCCATTCCACAGCACATTTAACTCACTAGTTCCAACACAGCAATGAATAAGAGATACCAGACTTCCAGGAAGACCCAATTCTATTAGAGTATCATGGATAAAATCCCAATTCAGCCTATCATAGGCTTTCTCAAGGTCAACTTTAATCATCATCCAACCCTGCTTGCCTTTTTTCCTTCTCATTGAGTGGATAATCTCCTGAGCAACCAGTATGTTATCAGCACTCTGCCTACCCTTTACAAAAGAGCACTGATTTGGGGCAACAAGACTGGGCATCAGGTTCCTTAATCTGTCAGCAACCACCTTAGTGACAATCTTATAAGCAACATTACATAGGCTTATTGGTCTGAAGTCTCTCATGCACTCAGGATTATCTAATTTTGGGATTAGACAAAGATGAGTTTGATTTATCAACTGAATTCTTTTGGGATCTTCAAAAATACTCCTAATTAGCTCACCAACAGATTTGCCAACCAGGTGCCATTGAGATTGAAAAAAAGCAGCATTTAGGCCATCTGGGCCAGGGGCCTTAAATCTTCCCATCTTGAACACAATACTCTTGACCTCCACATCATCAGGGGTCTTAGCTAGATTCTGCAGATCCTGGACCTCCAATTTAGGAAAAGTCCCTTTGATAGGAAAATCTTCAAAAGAACTATCTTCCTCCAAAAAAAGATTCTCAAAATAATTCACAGCCGTTTCAATCATACCTTCAGTGTCAACTGTCCATTCTCCAATGTCATTTTTAATAGCACAAATTTTATTTCTCCTCCTTCTGGCAATGGTAGTTGAGTGAAAGAATCTTGAATTTCGATCACTAAATCTCAGCCATTTGACTCTGGATCTCTGGAACCAAGTCAATTCTTTTCTTAACAAAATGGTCTCCAATTCTTTCCATAGATCTCTTTGCAATCTCTCAAGGTCTCTATCATACCCAGCCTCCAGCTTCCAATCCAAACCCTGAATTCTGGCATAGAGTTTATGTTTCTGTCTCATCTCCTCTTTAAACACCTCCTGATGCCATTTAGAAGCTGTAATCTCAAAGTCTCTCCTAGCCACAATCCATTCAGCATTACTTCCCCAACAGTTTTTTACAATATTGCTAAAATCAGCATTTGTGAGCCAGGCAGCAAGAAATTTAAATTGAATTTCACCCCTAGACTCCTGGCTAGACTGAGAACAGTTGACAAGAATTGGCCTATGATCAGAGCTGAAATAAGGTAAATGAGCTACCACTCTATTCGGCCAAACAACATTCCACTCTTCATTTGCACAAGCTCTATCAATCCTTTCTTGTAATTTTCCCCTCCTCCAAGTGAAACTAGGACCTTTAAACCCAACATCAGCAATCCTACAATCCATAAGGCAGTCCTGCATATCCTGGATACTCTTCCAGCACACATCCAGACCCCCAACCTTTTCATGTTGTCTTAAAACAGAATTGAAGTCCCCAAGCAGGATCCAAGGGACAACAACAGAATCAGAAATATCCACCAAGTCCTCCCATAGTTTAATTCTCTCCACTCTCCTCGGGCTACCATAGAAAAAGGTAGCTAACTCTATCCTTCCTTCCTCAATATAGTGAATTCTAGTATGTACATACTGATGATGGGCACGAATAACCTCCACCTCAACATCTCTATCATCCCATAAGATCCAAATACCACCCATAAATCCAACAGCCTCCTGTTTAAAAAACTTAGAGAAACCAAGCTTTTTAACAATAGCATCACCTTTATCCCCCTGAATTCTAGTTTCTAACATTGCAAGAACTTTTATTTTAAACCTATATTTAATATCCCTAATCAAAGCAGGAAAACCTTTTTTACCTACTCCTCTACAATTCCATGAGCAAAGATTCATAGTCATGAATGAAAAAAAAGAATCAGTACCTCAACCACCAAGGATTGAATCATCAAGTACCTACAAGAGTCCTGGTCCCTCCTGGAGCTGAGATCCCCTGATCACCTTCTGTCCCATTCAGAACAAAGCCTCCAGTCTTCACAGGAATGGTGTTTTCCTCCCCTTTGCAATTACCATTGACTAGATTATTAGGATCCTGAGAAGGCTGCAACACTCCCCCTTCTGACCCCTTGCTTCTAGCAATCACCTTTAGCATTCCCAAACTCGAAGAATTGGGAGGATGATTCTCAGTACCCTGACTTCTATTCACAGTCCCTTTATTAGTGACTTTATTTTTCTGAACACCATTAGGACCCAAAGTGCCTCCTTTAAAAGGGCCAGGCTTCATTCCACCTTTTTTCTGCTTATCTGACCCTGAAGACAGGATACTAGGAACAGGTCCCTTAGCTTTTCTATCACTACCACTTCCTCCATCAACCTTACTCATGACCACTTCCTTCTTATCAACTATTTTAGGCACTATATCAGAGACCACTTCCTGCATAGGGCTATCTGTATACACAGCCTCCCCAGCAATTCTCCCAACAACAGCAGTATCCTTCTGATCCTCCAACTTCTGGTTTCCTTCTTTATTAGCTGTAGAGTTAACCGGAGCAACCCTCATCCTCCTCCCTCTACCAGGTTTCTGGACTACCATCCAAGATCCGAAAGCCTCATCATCTTTCTGTTTCTCTTCAACTTTTTCCTTCATTTCAATATCCTGGTCCCTCACACCAGGAGCATCAGACTCAACACTGATTTTCTGTCCACCAATGCTAGGACATAAGTCCTTCCTATGCCCATACATACCACAGGCAAAGCAAATCATATGCAACCCCTCATAGCCAACTTGCAATACCCTCTCTCCAATTTAGAACTTCGATAGGAAACTTTTCCTAAGATCCACCTCAACACAGATACGGGCAAATTTGGCCCTTTCTGTTACATCCCCATCTCCATACTCATTCCTTCTTATAGAATTCTTATCTATCTTAAGTGTTCTCCCAAATATACTGCCAATTTTCCAAAGATTTTTGGTAGTATAGAGCTCCAAGGGCAGCCCTGGTATTCTGATCCAAACAGCCAACTTCTTCAACTGATCATCATACGAGTTAAATAAAGGCCTCCATCTTTGCACAGTTAGATAATGATCAGCAACTATCCATGGTCCTTCATAGAGCACATGATTGTAGTCACTGTCTTCCTGGAATCTAACCACCAGATACCCATTATCCATGTCAATAACCTCATACACACCCATCAGGTTCCACATTCTGATCACACGAGCCATTAGAAACCTAGCTCCCATTCTCTTCCCCAGCAGCTTAATAATCAGCGCTTTCCTCCATTGTTTACAATCCTCTTTGTGTTGCTCTCTCGACAACTTGAACGAAGGGCATAAAGGATCCTCCACAGCATCAACCGATCCTTCTTCCAGCATATCCTCTTCTTCTTCCTCCCTTCTCTGCCTAGTCATCCAGTCCTCTTCTTCATCATCCGACATATCATCAGCTCCATTGAGCCTCAGCAGCTTATCTTTGTAAGAGACAAATCTCCGCCCCTGCCCACTGCTTTTCCCAGAGGAACCACCTAACAGTGGCGCTAAACTTTTTCTCTCTGAAAGTTCCTGAGTGTCATGGGAGAAACACGATCGGCGTCGACGGAGGAAGAAGATAATCTGAATCGGAGCATAAAAAAGCCTAAGGGCTTGGAGGTCCAAGATGATGTGATGGATGATCGCATGCAGGGAGGGGATCTTGGATCTCCGAAGCTGAATGTTAAGGGAAATGAGGATCTCTCGAGTAAGATTCAGATCCCTAGAAAGGCTCTTGCTGATAAATATATAATTCTATAAATACATAAATAACCTTGAATTTATTTAAATGTTTTTGATTATAATCACAAACCATATAAAAAATACATAGCTCACCAAATTCATCATCACTTGAAATCTGATAAAATATCATCAAAGGTACAAACATAACTTTCTAATGAAATATTATCAACATTTATTATAGTTACAACTGGTGACACAGTTTCATTACAAGAACGATAATACTTGTTACTCCTAACGTAGGTGCTTCAGCTCTAAAAAGAGGTAATTCCTCAAATCATATTCTTTTCACAACTGGTGACACAATTTCATTACAAGAACGATAATACTTGTTGCTCCTAACGTAGGTGCTTCAGCTCTAAAAGAGGTAATTCCTCAAATCATATTTTTTTTACAACTAGTGACACAATTTCATTACAAGAACGATAATACTTGTTGCTCCTAACGTAGGTGCTTCAGCTATAAAAAGAGGTAATTCCTCAAATCATATTCTTTTTAAAACTGGTGACACAATTTCATTACAAGAACGATAATACTTGTTGCTCCTAACGTAGGTGCTCCAGCTCTAAAAAGAGGTAGTTCCTCGAATCATATTGTTTTTACTGATTGGCTCCATGTGCTTTTGATTGATTGAATGAGAAATTAACCGTGTCTCGTGTTTCCTTTTTGTTTTAATGTGGTTGACTATTCCATTGATTTTTGTCAAATCTAAGTTTTTAACTTCTTGTCACGTATTGATTGACTCCTCATTGATCTTCTCCCTTGAAAAGCAAATTAATTTTTTAATAATAATGTTAAAAATCTATTCCCCTCTCTCTTTGATTATTTACTTTTTTTTTCTCATCTCCTTTTTTTATTTTATTTTTTAATAAATAATAATAATAAAATAATAACTTGGTCAAAATAGGATGTTCACATAGGTAAACCCATTATTATTTTTATAAGCATAAATCCCACGCTATAGACGCAGATACAGTGTGAAGACCCCAAATATATCATATCTGAGCTAGAAACGCATATAGAGAAGATACCAACAAAGCATATTATATCATTGAATCGTTTCTTACTTGCAAAGGTAGAGTGTGAAGCAAATATATAGATCATCAACTTGGCTGTTGAAGCTGGCCATCTCAACCTCTTCCACCCTCAACTCAGGCACTGCAACTGGTATGTACCTTTTTTCTCCTCTATTCTTTGTTTTTGGGTCTGTTATGCAATGTCTCAGAAATTAAACTTGTAGTGACATGAATCTACAGGGAAATGATGTACCCATTGAGTCAAGCATCAATCTTTACAACAATCAGGGTGATGGGTAATAATTGTTCACAACTGCCACTATCTTGAACCACAGCCGCCGCCACTGGGAGACTCTGTTACCACAAAATGTAAGAGTAGCAGATTCTTTTCATAAGAAAACTGCCGTGAAATCTGATTGTTGTCTCAGATTTTAATTTTTTAAACATTCAAAATAGTCCGGCCTACCTTAGGTCTGATCTCAAAATAGAGCGCGTATAGAGTCACTACAAGAAAAAATCTTATTAGTGTCGCAAATTTCGTCACTACATATGAAATTTCGTCACAAATTCCTGAGTCGCAAATTTATTTATGACGAAATTTGATTATTTGTGTTGAAAATTTTCATTTGTGACGAGAATTTTTGTCACAAATAAACTTTTTTCTTGTAGTGAGTTTTAGAAAAATTCATTTAAAATTAGGACATAGGTCCACTTTAAAAAGTCTGGCCTAAAAAGCTGTAGGCTAACTTTTTAATTTTTTTAATAATATAATATATTTATGATATATATTATTCACTTAAAGACATATACTGATATATGATTTGTAACACTAATTTTCAAAGTAATAGTTATAGGATTTATGTTTTTTTAACAAATAATAAATATTTATTTAAAATTTAAAATATAATTTAAAATTAAATTAGTAAAGAAAGTGCAAAATGTATATATACATATATGAAATTTTTATGTGATATTTATGAACATTTTCATGTGATCTTTATGAACATTATTTCATGTGTTGTTAATGAAAAAATTATTTCATGCGATCTTTGTGAATAAGACATTTTATCTTATATATTTCAGTTTGGTTTGGGCCAATAAACTTTAGTTTGCAACTTAGTAGGCCGTACAGGCCGTGTTAGGCTTTTTAATTTTGTATAATAGGTTAGGGTAGACCTATAAATCAAGCCTTTGATAGGCAAAAGGCCAATATAGACTCTAAATATTTTACATAAGCTTAGGCTATCAAAGGCAAAACTTAGAGGTGTTCATCAGCTGATCTAAACCGATTCAAACCGCAATGATCCAAAAAAAAAATTGAAAACTGAATTAATCGAAAACTGAAAAATTGAAAATCGAAAAAAAATCGTAAAACTTAATTGAATTGGATCGGTTTTTGGATTAGTTGGTGAAAACCGATCCAATGATTCCCCAACCTTACCATCCACCTACTTGGGCTTTTCTCCAATCATAGCCCAAAAACCATATAGCAAAGTTCTAAATTCAAGACCCATTAACCCATCGTGTTGGAAATAGTGGATTGTGCTTGATCTATACATTATATATTTTTATTACATGGGTTATTGTTGTATAGAAGCTCCTCTATAGGATAAAAATTTGGGTTACTTCCTATCTCAGGCAATCATATTATGAATTTTTTGTTGGAGATAAAAGATGGTAATTCAACTTTTTGTTGTACAATGCTTCTATATTGCACAATAATCATCATACATACTTTACAAAACCGATACATACAAAAGATATGTTATTTGCACAATAATCATCATACAAATCTTAGGCTTTTCAAAAAATCGAAAACCGATGCAATCCAAACTGAATAAAATTGGATTGGATCGGATCAGATTTGAAAAAAAAATTCAAACAGAATGGATGTTTACATGATTAAACCTTAAGGATTGGATCGGATGATTTTTGCTTCCAAAACTGATCCAATCTAGACCGCGAACACCCCAAGCAAAGCTTGGCCTAACCTAGTCCATTTACATCCCTAGTTGTAGGACACTAAATGTCTCCTCCAACAGACACAAACCAGGTGTGGGTCTCACACTTAAAAAAAAATTGGCTGGTGCGAAAAATGATCTTTGTGTGGGAGAAAGAATCTGCTTCTTGTCACAGGAGAACATGATTTCCTATAAGAGCTCGTTTTTGGTGGTCCGGGAACTTGTGCTCCCTTTCCAAAAATAGAAGGAAAAAATGACTGAGAGGTAATTGAGAAGGAAGACAGGGTATAAATGGAAGAAAATATTTTCTGCTTTAGTAAAGGACCATCAAATAGAATTGCGGTCCTGGAGCGTATTAAAAGAATCCTTCCTATAAAAGATTTGGTCTTTTGTCGCACGAGAACATGATTTCCTATAAAACGATCATTGGATGAGACAGAATCTGCTTCATGTCGCACGAGAGCATGATTTCCTATAAAAGATTTGGTCTTTTGTATAATTCTATTTTTTTATTGAAAGTAATTTCTTTACTTTCAAGTAACTGAAATTGATAAATTTATTTTTTATTGAAAATATTTTTTATGATATATTTTTTTCAAGCTTTTAGTTATATTGTTTAATTATTCTAATATAATAATATAAAAAATTACTTTTTTTAAACAATATTCGTTTTTTTTTGGTATCCAAAACAATATTTGTTTTAAATACACACTTGCCATATTAACAATTATTAATAATTAATTCAATTTTTTTCACACCTAATTAATTAGACACCATATTAAGTTATAAGTTCGATAAGAAAATTTATGATGTCGTCTTAGGGTTATAAATTTTTCTCAGAGAAACTTATAATCTTAATGCAAAACTAGCCAAACTTTTTATGGGTGCGTGGGAGGGGTTTTTTTTCTCTCCCTATAACAGCAAAAAAACATACCCATGGTCTTATATAGAAAAAGTGTTACTAAATTTTTACGAAAGTAATGTCAAAACATTTCAACTTATCATCTGTATAAATCTTGATGCTAGACATTATTAAATTTAAATTTATAATAAAAATCCCAATATCAACTTTTATAAATCTATCCGAGTTAGAACACTTTAGTAATTTTACTGAAAGGGAATTATGATTGAATAAATTAAGTAAAACATACTTAATTAAGCTAAAAATTTATACAAACAATTCTTATTTGGGATATGATCCTTTGACATCGGTGTCAAATTTAAGCTAAAATTTGACACCTCATCTAAGAGCCGTTAAATCAAAAAAGATCAACGACTCTGATTTGTAAGCATGTGACACCATTGATATTTTTTGATCTAACAGCTTTCATTTGAGGTGTCAAACTTTAAATTTGACATCAGCGTCAAAGGATCCTACCCCTTCTTATTTTATTTAAATTACTTTCTTTCATATTTTTTTATAGGGGAAAGATCCGTTTACAAATTTTTTTTTACAAATTACAATAAATATGACAGGTCATACACTCTCAATTAAAGTATCACCTGTCAGACATAGTGTAGTTTATAAGAGTTCATAAATAAAAAGTTTATAAATATAACCTTTCTCTTTTTTATAAAATAGATAAAAAGATTTTAAACAAATTTTATACTTAAAAAAAATTACAGTCAGGTGTTGTATGGGCCAGCTTATGATTGATTAATCTTCATGGTCTAATTAAATGCTAGTTATCCA